TGGTGATATAAAGAAAACTATAAAATAAATAAATAAAAGAAGTGATATAAAATTTAAAAAATAAAGCAATATGAAATAATAAAAACATTTTAGTTCATCTGAGTTAATTGCGCTGTGCCTGTTTACAGCAAAGCTGCGATATCTGCACCTTTTTGCCGACACATCTTTGTCGAGCATTTGCTGACCATGTAAACTTCCTTGTTAGTTTCGTGGAACATCACATATGTAGCTGTCTTTGTATGATGTTCCCTTTGTCCCCCTCCCTATCTACAGGTGTTGTCCCAGGAAAACCCATCAAGAGCAATCTCTTTGTGGACTGGTCAGCCCTCAAGGGAAGGCAGGGGCAGATCACAGGCATTCCCTGCCATTTTAGGAGGCTTCCATAAATGCAGAGCCGACACACGATGCTCTGGTCCCCTGCTCAGCCAAGGAATCTTCACACCCTGCACATGACTGCTAAACCTGACATCCATAGCTGTCCAGAGCTTCCTCCCGAAATCAGCACGAGGCAGCCAGAAAACTGGGACTTTGATGACTACAAAAATAGGTATGCATACCCTTCTACAGCACGTTAGATACCGTTAACATTATTTTATCTGGATAGTTAGCACAACAGTATTGAAAAGCATGCATCCCATGCTGGTTACCCGGGCTTGATTTAATTTCTTTCCTCTGATATTCAGAGAACTGGGCAGAAATCACACTGTGTCAACATTGGGTGATAGCTGTCGCAATGATCTGTTTTAATTAGACAGTCCAATTACCCTAGCCCATACCAGTTCTGAGTTGGCTACTGAATGTAAACCGACAAGGACGATGTCAGTAAGATGCCGTAGCATAGCTCGTGAAGTCCACGAGAAGCCTTACCTGTAATATTCTATCAACTATCGCAGTGCATCTTGGTGACCTGCTGCGGACAAGGGTACAAGGCTATATGCAGAAGTGAGAGAACCCAAGTGGCTACATGCAGAAGTGAGAGAACCAAAGTGGCTAAATGGAAATGTCTGAGACAACAGGTAGTCAGCCAGTGAGATCATACCTTAGCTGAAGCATCACAAGCGCCAGAAACGAATGTTCTGTAGTCTGGGGCTGTGGACAGACTCATCACGTCACCAGTGTGTCCAGTGAATGATGTTGTCTGTTGGCCAGTTTCTATATCCCACAGTGCACTGAAACAAAGGACAATTAACAATTCAAGGCTAGTTTCTATCCATGACAGTAGAAACTAAAATGGTAAGAGGTGTGATATTTGGGAGTATTTCACGATTCTGGCTGAGAAGTGATTCTGTGAACTGAGATCAAACCATTAAAACATCACTCATTCTACTGTTCTAGCTGTCACAGTGTGTTATATAGACCACCTATTCTAGCTGTCACAGTGTGGTATACAGACCACTTGTTCTAGCCGTCACAGTGTGGTATATAGACCACTTGTTCTAGCTGTCACAGTGTGGTATATAGACCACTTGTTCTAGCCGTCATAGTGTGGTAAATAGACCACTTGTTCTAGCTGCCACAGTGTGGTATACAGACCACTTGTTCTAGCTGTCACAGTCTGGTATACAGACCACTTGTTCTAGATGTCCGTCTGGTATATTGACCATTTGTTCTAGTTGTCCAGGCTGGTATATAGACCACCTGTTTTAGCTGTCACAGTGTGGTATATAATTTGCCTGCTCTAGATGTCAGTATGGCATGCATTCATATAAATATCACTTATTTTAGCCCCCATGATGGTATAAATAATTATTCTAACTATTTGTTCTACTGAATTACTCACCAACTCATATCGCCGGAACTAGTAACAATCGAGTTATCATCAATAAATCGACAGCAAGACAGGTATCCGGTATGTCCGGGCAGCTCCCGACTGACTCGGACATTGCCTTCACGTGTCTTGAGACTATAAATAGAACAGATATTATCTAGGCCACCACATGCTACAAAGTTGCCACTGGGAGCATAGGCACAGGTCATCACCCAGCTTGAGCGTAGTGGGATGGCGTGTACCTAGAAAAGGAGGACAGAAGATGGCATTGAAGACAAAATGCAATAGCTACTTGGTTTTACACAAATCATTTATAAAATTAAAAGTATAGTATAGTACTGAATCTTGCAGTCATTCAGGAAGAAAACAAGGGCTTCTGAACTGAAATGCTCTAGCAAGATTCTCAGAATACCATGAACCAAGAAGAAAAGAAATATTGACATCCTAGAAAAGCTGAGCATCAAGGAAGACCCTAGTAAACAGCTTCTTATCTCCAAAAAAAAAACAACTAAATTGTTTGGCCATATCAAGCACCACAGTGGACTGGAAAGAGTAATGGCAGAAGACATGGCACCAGGAAAAAGGGGCAGGAGCCAACCAGCATGGAGATGTGCATAGGATATAAGTGACACCTTGGGTGGGAAGGTGCACAAAGCGGGAAAGTGGGCGAGAGACTGAGTTTCCTTCGGTCAGACCATGATTACTTTATTTCCACCTGAATCAAATATGTATCTCTGAGTAGACATGTATTAAAGACTTCCTTCAGAATGGATGACCTTAAAGACTGAATAAACCAACAGGATTAAGAAAATTATACAATGTGTAGGACATCCAACTAAAGCATTGCAAGCTACCTGGTGCTGGCAGAATTATGTGAAGGAGTGTCAGTGTTAGTTGGAGGGAGAGAGTAGATAGATTTTTGATCGCCAGCGACTATTCTCGTATTAATTTGTTGTGAATCCGTGCGGCAAGCATTAGAGGTAACAGGTAGCATTTTTACTAGGTCATTCAGGGTTGTTGGGAAAGAAACAGGCAGACAGACTGGCTGGCTCTGCATCACTTAGTGATGAAGTGATGCATAACAAGTTAGATGTCATAAGGGTCCTTCGGGGAAGTGGAAGCTCAACAGATCATCATGGTCTGAGGAAAATAATGCTGCTAAGAGTAGCAAGGGGATCTGGCTGATGTTCAACACTCTTAGAAAGGCAAGATGGATATACAATTAGGTAGTTGCTGGTACCATCAGAACTGCAACTCTGCTCTTGCTGCTGAAGACAGGGATGCAGCACTTATGGGAATGTTCAGAGCGCCACTATGTAGACTCTTAATTCAACATTCTGTTGTGGACCCAATCCTGCTGAACTGTCTGACAGATACTGGCAAGCCTGTCACTTCTGCATTTACTTTTAACAGAGTGGTTGGCATGTTGTTTTGTGGTTTACTGCTAGGCTGCAATATATGCATCCTTCGGCCTAATATATCCAATGTAAGCACATCCCCAACTAATCGCCGATTACAACCCCCCCCCCCCCCCCCCCCCCACCCCCCCCCCCCCGCCCCCCCCCCCCCCCCCCCCATACCCCCCTAATATAACAAATCCCCCCCCCCCCACCCCCCCCACCCCCCCCCCCCCCCCCCCCCCCCCCAAGGTGCTTGTAAAATCCCAAAAATTCCCCCCATGCTTGTTGGGGTAAGTGCTTTTAAATCCCCCCCCCCCCCCCCCCCCCCCCCCCCCCCCCCCCCCCCCCCCCCCCCGGACCTCAGAACCCACAAGGAGAAAGAAGTTGCTAAACACTACATAGACTATGACTATATGACTAGGGAGTTCTAAACCGACAATGTCAACAATTGTAAACAATCCACAACACAAAAACAGGCTCACCTTGTTTGTTGTATAACCATCCCACACTATTAATTTACCATCTTGAGATGCAGACACTAAATTTCTGTGGAAATAAAACGTTACACACCATTGGTCATCAGATGCACTCATCTAACTAGTCCAAATTTTTATTTCATATTCGTTCCTTATATTAATTTTTTTTATTACAAAGAAATGTTTATGTGCCGTCTCCGTAATAAAGGTTAGCTATACTGTACCCGTTATCTTTAGGAATATGAGGCCGTATCTCTTCCACGGCATGACTCTCATACCATTGTCCTAAAACTACAAAAACACTTTTTATAAAAAATACTGTCCACCGCAGGAAACAAACACAATTATAGGAAGATTACAAAATTGTCAGCCGAGCTTGGCATCGTTAACCTATTCTACTGATGATATTACCTAGCCAGAAACCACCATACACCAGCTGTATACTGTTCAGGAGCACCGACTCAAAGGGAGGGTGGCAGTGACACACACACACCCCCTCCCCCCACCCATAAATATTTTAGGTACTTCATGGGGCCTCAGCTTTTTTTTTTAACAAGAGTACATAATAATAATAACAGTAAAAAAAAAAAAAAAAAATCCCCTAGGCGCTATATGTGAAGAAGAGGGCAGAAGCATGGAAAATAGAAGAAGCACCAGAAGAAGAAAAGGAAGAAGAAGATCAATGACTAAACAAACTTTACTTTCAAAAGGTCACAAAGAAGAACAAGAAAACAAAAAAGCAAAAATGTAATCATTAGCTTCAAATTACAACTACTAATGAAGTCTTGAAATTTACAGCCAAACAGACACTTGTTAAACAAACAAAAAGGCATCTCTTTAGCAATTATACTCATGTTTTTAAAAAAAACAGCTACCCCCAAAAAAAAACCTAACTACACTAATTACCATCACTGGTGTGGAGTAATTGTGATAGGGGCTAAGGAATATTGCATGTATCAGCAGTTGCCACACCATGCTCAGATATGAGAATTCTTACTTCACCCCCAATGACAGACAAAAAAGACCTCACAGAGAGAGCAATTCCAAAGCATAAAATCACACCAGGTAGACAACAAAAACCCCGACTGCGCTGGCATAAAGCAACAGGAGGCTAAGAAATCCAGATAAATTATGTCTTTTTTTTTTATTCAGGTGATCTACATTTCATCTTCTCCAGATGTCCAGAGATAATGACACCCAGCCGACCCACTGATCCCCTTCAGTAAGGGACACTGAGACAAGTCAGAACTGATCTCCCAGCAAAGCAAACCAGGAATCAGACAAGAGTGGGATCCCTGTGTGGAGCAGCAGCGAGGAAGGAGCAATCAATAACAGCAGACCTAATGCCAGCCACCAGATCAATAGAGCCTGGGCGTTGCCCTAGCAACCAACAGCAGAGAGAAGAAAAGAAGAGGAGGCGGAAAATGCTTTCACTGGGAGCTGCAAATTGAGTTTTATGTTTGGGAATTGTTGAACCTGCTGGGGAAACATGCGAGGCTATTGAGCTTGGGTGGCTGAAAGAAGTGGAATAAATACTCTGTGTGCTTGGATTTATAATAAAACTGAAATTGTTACACTCTGTGTGTGTGTCTGTGTGTGCGTGCATGCTCAAATGCATTGTAACACTGCTGGTCTAAAGAGGGAAGGTTTAAAACAGCCAAGGAAATAAAGGCAACAATAATGATCAGAAAAGATCAAATCAGGAATGAATATAAGAGAAAGAGCACATTAAATTTAAATTATATACTATGACTAATACATGGTTTGCCTTCTAAGAATGCTTTGTGATGCCCACTATAAAAGGCACAGACTGAAAGGGGAGAATGAACAGTCATTTTCAAAGGGTAACAAATTGGGCCCGTAGGCCTATCTACATTCGGCCCTTCCAACACTCATCTTTCAGAATGCAGTTTCTTTGATCTATGAAGCATGTTATGCTCATACAATAATATACACACAATATGAATAACACAGAAAAAACACAAAAATGTGGGTGGTATATGCAATCTCATATATATATATATATATATATATATATATATATATATATATATATATATATATATATATATATATATATATATATATATATATATATATATATATATATATATAATAGGTCCTTTTATATATATATATTATATATATATATATATATATATATATATATATATATATATATATATATATATATATATATATATGAGTGTGCACATACACACACAGATACATACACACACACACTCATGCAAGCATACACTTATTCAAACATACCTATTGCAGACACTATCATACATACAAACATATCTCACTCATATCAATACATGCAGGCACAAGCACACACATACATACAAACACACATATGCATGCATATACACACTCATAAATGCATGCATTCACAAATGCATACATACCCACTGCAGACACTATCATACAAATAAACACACACTCATGTATATCAATACATGCATGCACAAGCACATATGCAGAAACAATGATATATAGACAGACACTCAATTGCACATATCCATACACACATTCTCATATATAACTCAGATACACATTCATATACACTCTCAAATATATATCTAAGTTCATATACATACATACAGCAGATGCATTCATACAAATCACACACATATACACATTCAAATACAGTATCATACACACATGTCTGTGTGTATGTACACACAAGTACATGGAGATGGGCACTATTCCCAAGGCAGACCAAGAACAGAGTGGAAAGATAACATCAAAGAAAGAGCCAGCATAGGACAAATCTTCAGTTACATCCTGACACAAAATAAACAGTTTATCTATTTAAAAAATGGGTAGAAAAATCAGAGCATGATGTGCATAACAAATCAGAAACTATAAATTATTCCAATGAGCACAGACTAAGAGGCTTAACAAAGGTGGGAAGGGAAAACACACACACATACAGGAATTAAAGTATGTTTTAACAGCAGCCTTTGTTGACAAAAACACAACAAGGGGTACAGTATACTGGCCACCTAAGAGGCACATGAATAACTATAAAATCAGGGGGAAGGGGGGGGGGGGGGGGGGTTAATTATAATTTAATAATCACATAAAAGGAGCAGTGATCATAGTAAAATTAAAAGACCCTTTTCAACGCCTTCCGGCGTATTGGGCACAAAGGACTAGACATGAATTTTATAGACCAATCGGCACTCGGTAAATAATGTGTTTATACCGGCTAAGATTTCTCCTGGTACCCATTTAAGGCTGGGTCGGCCTGGGCGCAGAGGTACTTTTTGACACACACAAAATCTGGCTCCGTCAGAGCTTCAATCCATGACATTCAGATCTGCAGGCGAGCGTCTAGCCGCTACAACACTGTGGCTCCCGATGATTGTAGCAGTAGTATAAAATAATAGTAACAATCATGTAAACTGACAATAACAGAAAGAAGAATAAAATGATAAATTAAAAAAAAATAATAGCAATAACAGGTAAAATAAAATTTAATTAAAAGTAATGAAATTATCTAGTTGAAGGTATGCTGAACATTGATTACTTTGCGGCTCTGAACATCTAAACTATGAATAAAGTGATTCACTAAAATGTGTGGTCAGAGCAAAAGATACTGGGGCAACTAACAACACTTTTGACACATAGAAGTATACGACTACCAAAAAGAAATTTTTTTTTCTCCACCAATTCTGTGCTACCAGTGTCAAACACTGACCCTCTCTACAACTAATGAGCACACAAAAATAATAACGTTGATGAGATATCTTAGAAGAGTTGCTAGTGTAACAAGAAGAAATTAGAAAACTAGAGCTGAAATCAATCACACAATTCAGCAAAGAGCAACAGACGAGATGGTGTGGTCATCTGACGAGAATGCTCTGGTACCAATTACCACAGAAAGCCAAGCTGAAGAAATATAAGGTAAATGGAAGAAGCAGAAGAAGAAGAAGAGGAGGAGGAGGAGAAAGAAGATGAAAATGAAGAAGCACCTCCCATCTCTTCCATACCCATAATACGCAGCATAATAATCAGATAAGAGAATGCAGACCGAAGCCCCTACCTAGAATCTGTAGCCCAATGCATGGCGTATATTTTTGCAAGATGACCTCGGAGTGTCCTCCGAGTTCTCATTTGTATTCTGCCTACAGTCTCCACGCCACTGCATGCTTGTGCTAGTGTGGTGTCTCCAGCTGCCTTTCTGGCTTCCTGTGGGAGGTAGGGAAACAACAACAGTGAGAACTAAACAGTTCAGCTTAGGTCCTTATGTTTGCCAGATTATCAGTCAGTCCAGCAGAGCTAAGTCCTCACAAGAAAAACAACAAAAAAGTGTCGATAGCTAATAATTCAACTCATATAGTTATCTTCTTCGCCTTCACTGGCTGTAAACTCTGGCAGAAAGTATTGGTTGTTCATCTAATTCTGGACTTTGGACTTGTTCCAGAACTTGAGTTTTGCATGCATAATTGTTATACAAATCTGGTTTATTTGTGTGCAGAATGTTGATTATTCACCTTTCAGGCAGATACATTATACTTTGAATAAAAAACACCTAAAAAGTAGCATGTTACAATGCTTGTGGGGATGGAGTGGATCTGTTCTTTATCTCAGAATAGGGCAATAGAACCTAAATGGTCAGAATCTAAACGGGGATCATGTTTTGTTACATTTGTCCAGAAGTTGTGCTGAGTTCTCACACTCTCAAGTCCTGTGTGAATATAGAGTTGGGGGGGGGGGGGTGGTGGGTGTGTGTGTGTGTGTGTGTGTGTGTGTGTGTGTGTGTATGCTATCTGTACCAAAGAGTTCAAATCCAGTTTGTGTGTGTTGGGACTGACTTCAGCCATGCTAGACTTTCACATTCTGGCTTCCTTGTGCAGGTACCTGGCAGCCTCATGGCATATCATACATATAAACAATGGAACTGGATAACTCAATGAGGGGAAAGTATAACAGATTAAATATTTTAACCAAAGTCTTCACTGAAAAAAATCTGGACAGAGAGGGAGAAGTAGGGGATATAGAGAGTAACAGGATAGAAAGGAAAGGAAAGAGAAGGAAGGCAAAGAGAGGAGAACAAGGGAGAGAGGAAGAGAAAGGAAGATGAAGGAAGAAGGAATGAGATGAGAGAGGTGACGCAAAGAGGGATGGGGGGAAAAACAGGGTGAATGGGGAGTGAGGCAGAGAAAGGGAGGGAAAGAGACTGGGGGAGGAAGAGAGAGCGACATGAGAGAGAATGAGGAAAAGAGACAGAGGTAAAGAGAAGGAAGGCATAGAAATTCAAAAAGAGGCAAAAAGAGAGAGAAGCGATGCGACAGAAAGTGAGAGAAGAGAGAAGGAATGAGAGACAAAGAGAGAAGGAATGAAAGACAAAGAAAGAGGGAGAGGAAGAAGACAGATGGGGAGCAAAGATAAACATCATAATCTGCAGTGTTTATGGCAGATGCACTAGTCAGCAAAGAGAGAGAGAGAAAGAAGAGATTAGACAGAAAAGAGAGATGAAGAGAGAGGGAGAGGAAGAAGAGAGCTGTTGGGAGCAAAAATAAACATCCTGACCTGCATAGTGCAAATGCACTAATCAGATGGCCTTAAAACCTTAAGCTCAAAACACAACCTTATCCTCCATAATACTAAAAAGAAGCACATATTTAAGCAGTAATAAGAGAATAAGAGATTTTTTAAAAAGATAATGGAAAGAAGGAGATGAGCAGGAGGAGGAGGAGATTAGGGTCATTTGGCTAGTGCAGCTGCCAAGAACTGTGCAAGTTAGCCATTTATTTGTGTCAACCAACAGCACAAATTCCATTCCATTTACTCAAGATCTGAATAAAAGTCTCCCAAAGGAGAGACCATTAATCTAACAGCTTGGCCAGACACCCCGCATCACATCTCATTACCCAGCCCACAAATGTAGACTGACTCCTTCATAAATAATTTGATAAAAACATCTTTTTTTTTCTTCATACATCAACAACATCTGAACCGTTCAAGCTTACCTCTATCGATTCCCCTACCTTACTGTTATTATATTACTCCCGTTGTCATCTTCTATACATGCATCTCGTTATAATCCTGGTGGCATTTAGCCTGTTCCATATTTGGATCAAATGTTTGTGTTGTGTTCAAAAGTAATATGTCATTTGTCATTCAAGTTTCTCATATCCCCATTATCTTATTTGCTGAGATCTTTGCCAAAGAATTCTGTATGTTATCTCATCTTGATCCTCTTATTCAATCTGTGCCAAGGTGAAGTATTAATGGCAGGAGAGTGACTGTCTGTGTGCTCTGTATTTTTGAGTTTCCTTGCAAACTCAGTGTCTCTTTTGATTTCCACATATTCTGAACATTCAGTGATGAAGTGGTCAAGCCATCTGCCTCACACTCTGTAGGCCACGTTTTTTTTTTCCATGATATGTTCAGTACAAGTTTTACAGCTTCCTAGAGACTGTCTCTAGAGCTAGAGAGTTAGTACTTTTAACGGTCTTAGGGGGCAGCTAGCCGTTCTGAAGAGAGAGACAGAGCCATACAGATAACCAAAGGCAATGAAGTCGATCCTGTTGTCTTTAATAGTTAGTTCGACTTTAATAGTTAGTTAATCTACTGATCATTCTCATAGCACATCGGACAAGTCCATATGGGCTCAGATCCCGTCTTTATTATCCCTCTCAGCATGTGAAGACTAATAACATCAGTTCCCTGTTGGTTTACTATTCTTTTCTGGCTACCTGTATAGTTGGCTGGCAATACCTCTTTTGACATGAAGTTCTTGTAGTTTTGTCAATGCTGCTGATTCACCACTGACTGTCTCCTGAATCATCCACTTGTCCTGCCTCCTTCGAAGCAATAAAAACTTCGACTAGGTCCGTTGCTTTTCCTGTGCCTACCATGGTCCTGTCCTGCCAGCAAGCCCATAGGCTCATTCATTCCATTACCCTAGTGTCCTGGCATGAAAACGATCTTGACTTTATTTATAATTATTACTACTTATTATGATATAGTCCCCCGTGTGGGTTCCGGGGCCCTATTGTGGGGAAAACAAGAATAGACCCACTGCCTCCCAAAAGCATGTCGTAAGAGTCGACTACCTGGGGAGCTTCCTTTGAAGTCGGAGTGCATCTGCCTGAGAGGCAAGGAACCAGCAGTCTACATTCAATTGAATCATCTGTAAAACTGATGCACACGCAAAACTCAGGTTCTGGAGCAGGACTGCAGTCAAGAAGTGGACGAACAACCAGAACCTTACGCCAGAGTGTACAGCTGGTGAACGCGAAGAAGAAGAAGATTATGATATAGTGTCTGTTGGCAGCTTAGCTGAAAAATACTTTCTTTAAAATATATCTCTATTTTTACAAAAATAAAATCTAGTGCTGCTACTACCCCTACTTGCATCATTTCCTGTGTTTTCTCTATTCAGTATGTTGAGTGGTTTCTCAGGAATCTCAAACCTGATGTAAATTCCCCATCCCAACACATTCTATGTGTGCCTTTTTTTGGGTCAAGGTTGAGCTCTCTAAACACGTTTTATATTAATTTATGTTTACTCTTTCTTAACAAAACAAATATCACCAACAAAACAGATAAAGGAGCCTGTTCCCTGATTTAGGGCATTTAGGTATGTAGCCCTGTATTTTTTAATGACCATTTAGCAACTAATGCGTTGCATGGACAATAACACAGAGCTGCCTTTCTTATTATTGTCTATACAGAGTGAGGCTGGTAATCATGTCTGTTCACAGCCTTGTCTCATGCAGTGGCACCTTTACTTCTCCTAAACTTCCTGTTACTCTTTTTAAGCTAGGACAATCTGGTAATGTGGATCACATTTTATCCCTGTGTGGGTTAAGTGAAAGAAGATTAAGACCATTGCTGGGAGAACAATTGTCAGAAGCCTAGATGGGATCTAGATGAATCAGAAGCCTCACTGGTGCAATATTTACATCAAGACAGCTTCCTTAAAGAGCAGAAGAATATGGTCTTCTTTAGCTTTTGTGCTACTGCTTATGCCGTATAAAGCATTACAGGTAGGAGTCCGATGTAATTTCCTGTCTTTTGCTAACTTAATGTTAATGTCAAACTGTGTTTCTGTAGTGTCTCTATTACTCACTACCTCCATCTCTTTCTTGGTCGGCCTCTTGACTTTAGGCCTGCTGTTTTCATGTATTATGCTCTAGCTGCTGGCTGATTTTTGTTTCATTCAGACCAGATGACCAAAACATTTGATTTTTTAATGTTCTGTCATCACATTTATCAGTACTGTGCCCACCATTGTTCTTAGTTCTCTGCTGGTGATTCTAGTCTCTTCTTGTTTTCCTCGCCATATTTCTTGCACATCTCACCTCACATGTTGTAATTCTGTGTTGTTTTTCTAAGACTGTCCATGTCTGGCATTGACAGTACAAAGTTGATATAAACTGTACTTATCAGCTGCTTTTTTATGCGAGCATTGGTGTTCTGATGCAAAGTGGCGTTTTTTTGTGTAAGAGTTTATCTACACAAAGTTTTATATACATCAAGTAAAATTTGTATACAAACAAAATCAAATACACCAAAACCTTTTGATGTAAATTCAGGACAACAAAAGGCAATGATGTCAGCATAGCTGTTGAAAACAATAATACATCATGCCAATCGCCCTTTTAATTATGAAAAAAAAAGAAGAAAAAGATCAATTTCTAAATAATCTCTGCTTCAATGGGAATTTTCAACACTGACTACTAGGTGAAGTAGTCTAATATCATAATTTTCATATAACATGCACCTTATGACTTTAAACAAATTACAAGATGCAAAAGTTTGGATACTTACTCTAATTTGGTTTTTTAATTGTTCAGTTTCCTGCCTCAAGGCTTCTAAATCGTTACTCATTTTGGGCTATATGAAAGGCTGGATCTGAAATGAACAGAAACAAATAAATACACTCAATAGTGAAATAATAAAATGATTCTTTCTAAAGGGTAAAGATTTGATAAATATCAATATTAACCATAAAATACAATATCCTAAAATTCTAGCCTCCTCTTGCTGGCCGAGGTCAAGAAGATTGTCCTTGCTACAGCGGGGTTTTATCTCTTACAGCTTAGTCTCTCTCACCAAATTGGTCAGCTGCATGAATACTATAGGTCCAGTCATAGTTCCCAGGTCTGGTTCAGAAGTTTTTATGCAGAGTGGTCTTGGCATTCAGAATAACTTGCTAAAATTGAGAACCATACCTGGGACACCTACTGCATCCCCTCCTGACAGGGACAGCCGACTGATGTCTCAGGGCAGAGAATACCAAATTTAATAAACACATGCACAAGCTTTGTCGTTCTACTTCATCAATGTGTACAGGCGGATTCAACAGTCCAATCTGCTGTACTATCCTCTATATAATGAGCTCAGAAAGATACTGCCTGCAATTCCATTTTATAGGTGATCTAGAGAAGGAGAGTCTTGAGTCTGGGAGATTCGAACCTAGGTCTACCGCACAAGAGCCCAGTATGCTTATTAAGAAAGTTTTATTAACCCACTGAATCAACACAGAACTCCAAACAGACATAGAATTTCAAAGACTGTGATCATCAGTTTACGGTTATTTTTACGCTGGTCTCTCCAGTTGCACACCGCTACACACTAGCTCACTTCTGACTGGACGACCTACTGACCACCTCACTTCTGATAGATCTGCCTCGAGCAATCCAAATTCCACACAAGGTCACAGGGATGTTCTGCACTTGCGCTCATACCACATGTTGTATATTTCACCATGCCAGAGCTTTTAAAATTTCTAAAATATTTATATATTGGGTCTAACACACAGCTCCCCTAGAGAGTCACAAAACCTATGTCACAGGCCATCTCTTTCTCGGAAATAAAAACGTAAATACCAGACAACAACAGACTGCTACACCCATAACCTTGACCACAGTAGACTATCCTATCCAACCAACTTATCAATGGAGTTGACCTACAACTGGTGGTGTGCAAATGGGGAGACCATTGTAAAAATAACCCAGTTTACTTCAGAGTATAATCCTATCCCCATGGGGGCTATGGGGCCTTGGGGAGTGAGGACCCAGTGCCCCATAACAATGACACTGTAAAAGGGAGACTAAATGGGGGGTTTGCTGAAATAAAGAAAAGATTACCTGGTACACAATTTAGGCTGGATCAACCCGGGAGCCAAGGTCAATTTTAACGAAAACCAATCAGCCTTATTGCAGATGTGAACCAAAGACATTCAGGCTGACAGATTAACATCTACTGACTATGCTACCGCATTTCACCCATAATTATTGCCATGCATAAAAGCAAACAAATTCAAAACAATGTTTTCCCATAGTTAATTTTTTTTAAATACAATGCACAATTTACAGGCAATAGACAAACAATGTATTTACAGCAGGCAATATGATTCATGTATTCCAGTGAAAAAAATTCAGTTTTGTTTTGCTTCACTGTATGCTGAAGAAACTCTAGAAATGCAGCCAAATATACTTTGTAAATTCCATATACACCCTGACAATGTATCTGCCTTATGTCTTGAAACTTCAGAATACCCTTGTAACTTTATAATACCCTATCATCACAGCATCAATCTCTCTCTCTCCTCTCCCCAACACCAATATACACCCCCCCACCCCCGCCAGAGACCCAGTAATCAGGTTCTGAAAAGCAGGGGGTAAAAAACAAAAATCCTGAATATAACAGATCCGTAAAACTACAAAATAAAATGCTGCTCTGTGGCTCAATACTTAGTGTTCGCTTTAAAGTTTCATGATCCTCTAATAATTTCCCCAGTAGACTATTTTTTTAAATACTCTGTTGTTATTTTCAGACAGTGGTATGAAAGTTGCACCGTGGAAAAGATTGGGGTCTCACCAGGTAATATTCCCAAAGACAGTAGTGGGTACACTGTAGCCAAACTTTATTGTGGAGATACCAGATAATTTTTTTTTAAACATAAACCCACTAACTACCCCGACTGCCTGTTATACAATTGGTGGAGACACCAGAGAATTAATTTTTAACATAAACCTACTAACTACCATGACCGCCTGTTATACGATCAATGGAGATACCAGAGAATTTATTTTTAACATAAACCCACTAACTACCACGACCGCCTGTTATACGATCAATGGAGATACCAGAGAATTTAGTTTTAACATAAACCCACTGACCACCACGACCGCCTGTTATACGATAAATGGAGATACCAGAGAATTTATTTTTAACATAAACTCACTGACCACCACGACCGCCTGTTATACGATCAATGGAGATAACAGAGAATTTATTTTTAACATAAACTCACAGACCACCACGACCGCCTGTTAAACGATCTGCTGACGGTTACACCTGGCTACCATGATCGCACCCCCTGCTATCGTAACTTTGGACTCCCGCCGCCATGTTAAAATTGCCATTTGTGCGACAAATATACCTAAATTCATTAGTTCATTCATTTCTTTAAGGGAAACACTTTCTGAAAGTAAACTGTCCATGAATTGTTGCTGTTGTTGTGAGTTCCCATGTAGATGTCGCGTAAGGCAGATGTTTTGAAATTGGCGGCTAAACTGTTTGGGGAATGTTGCTTATGCTATGGGATATTTTCTTGATTCTCTGCATACACGGCGGCTGCTGTAGCCACTGCGAATTACTCATTATAATACTTAGAATACCATCATTCCTAGTTATTAGTTACCACAAACTGACTGAAGGATGCAAAACAAAAAAAATGTTTTTTAAATGTTCACTATTCTGTACTACATTTTATGAAGTAAAAGTTAAGTGTACATTTGACATTCTGAATGTTTTTTTTTAAAGTTCTATTTTAAACACTATACACTATTTGCATTCGGCCAAATAGTTAAGTCATCTATTCGGTTCAGCACTAGTCTATACTGCTGTCAGAAAAAAGAAAATTTATGTTGCCTGTTTTTTTAAAATAGTTTGTGTGTGTGTGTGCGTGCGTGCGTGTGTGTGTGTGTTTGCATCAACAGCCACATGATGATGATGATGTCAAACAAGACTATGCAGTCTATATTTTTGTAATTTGTTTTCCATTCAATGCTGTGCAAAATTACAAAATATTATGAGTTTATTTTCAAATAGCTGTGAAGTTATGGTATCTGCGAAAGTGCAAGGCTTAACAGTGAGATAAGACTTCAAGAAAATTGAGGCCCAGAAAAAAAAGCCAACATGGTTCCATGGATAAATATTCACATCATATGAGAGTTACTAAATTATGACAGTTACTTCTTCTTCTTCTTCTTCTTTGCATTCATTGGCTGCAAACACCAGCAGAAAGTACCCGCTGTTCACCCACTTCTGGATTTTGGTCTTGTTATATAAGAGTCACTGAATTATATAAGAGTTACTGAATTATACAACAGTTACTGAATTATACAACAGTTACTGGATTAAACAAGAGTTACTGAAATATACAACAAGAGTTACTGAAATATACAAGAGTTACTGAATTAAAAAAAATATGGATTGGTTTGCAACATCCTAAATATATTCAGCTAACTTTCCTTGGAGAACCACTAAAGACATGGAACAAATGTTAAATGCATTCAAAAACAAAAACCTCAGGAAAATTATCAAACAAAATGGGATGAATTCAAGCAGGGTGAAGATATCAGAGAAATGTCTGGGCAACCGCTGGTATCAACAGTTATAAAACTGAGAAATTGGTTTCATACTGGATACCTTATAATAAGAGGCACAAAGAAATCACCAATCAGACAGTGAAATAGGAACTGGGGAATAGAGGAAACAAAGAAGCCGTTGAGAAACCCTATGCGAACACTGATGACAGAAGCCAAAAGTGCTGGATTGTATTCCATCCTTGAAATCGAAGTGACTGCACAGGGTGAAAAAGAACAGAGAAAAAGACTGTGAGCTCTATGTGACATATGACGGTACAATACGACAATGAATTAATGAGTGAACTTCTTTTAAAGTTAAACACCAAGAATTACTGAATCCCAAAAGCCACAACAAAACTGTTATTTCTCAAATTGCCTTTACTTCCTCTGTCATTTACTCTCCATTTCTTCAGCAATCCCCTTTAAGTAGCTGCGTACACTTTTTTCCCTCCAAGTGAGGACAGCTGATAACCTTTGTAGGTCTGGTTTCCCAAAATAGACCATTCCAGGCCATAAATAGCCCTGCTGAGAAGGCATTGTGTGATCAACAATGCAGCCTGCTGCTTGAACTATCGCCACTAGTGTAAACAAAGTCATCGCTCTACATGTAACCCAAGCTGGAGATCATGTGTGTCATCAAGCATCAGTTGTGTCTGGAGACTTACAGTATTTGATATTTAGACACTATGTGCCAAATGTTAGACAGGCTGGCAAAGGATATCATGACTCTTTGTCATCGTCAGTCTCACCGCCACCATTACCACCACAATCATCATCATCATCGCCACTACTACTGCCATTATCATCATTAAAAGTTTCCACAAGTGAGTTCCGGGGCCGTGTTTTAGGGAAAACAGACTGACTGCCCTCTCACAAACATAAAATATCAATAGTCCGGTTTGTTTCCTTCGAAGTCGGAGTGTATCTGCCTGAGAGGAGAGGGACCAACAGTCTGCATACAATAAAAAAGATCTATAACACGGATGTGCACGCAAAACTCAAGTTCTGAAACAAGACCAAAGTTCAGAAGTGGATGAACAACCTGAACCTTCCACCAATGTTTACAGCCAGTGAACAAGTAGAAGAAGAATATGATAAGCGCCTTGTCAAACACTATCAATAACCAGGCCTCTACACACCTTCAGTTGCCAAGCTAAATAATAATAATAATAATATATATATATATATATATATATATATATATATATATATATATATATATATATAGAG